TGGGCTTAAGCGATTCTCTTGCCTCAGCCTCCCAAGTAGCTGGGACTACAGGCACCCGCCACAGTGCCCAGCTATTTTTTGGTTACAGTTTTCATTGTTGTTTAGCAGGCCCCAGCTGGGTTCAAACCCACCTGCCTCGGAGTATGTGTCCGGCGCCATAACTGATGAGCTATGAGCGCTGAGCCTGCATCACCATTTTCTTCTTGAAATCAGATGAGTATCACGTCACCCTGGCAATCCCTGCTTTAATCAAATATGAAATAACCAACAGAGAAGAAACCGCTACTTACACCAAACGGTAGTGTACTTTCGAAAGTTTATCCACCCAGGAACAGGGATCTTGGGATTCCTTGACTACCTGTTGGAAACATTGGCAAAAAATGAAAACAAAGACAGCATTCAGATGATAAAACACACTGGCAATGAAGAGACTTCCAGTGTTTCTTTCTCCTCTCTCAAACGTGCTTCGATGTGTGAACACATCACCTATGCATTCTGGGGTCTCCAGACTCAATGGTTTGTAATCCACTGTCCCTCAGAACAGTTTGGGAGTTGGTTAAGTGCTTCATTTAAAATTCTCATATGTGGCTACTATATATACTTCTCAAAAGTAACAAAAAGTTACTAACTCTTGTGTTTCATTGGCATATTTTAATAGTCTGCATAATCTGTAACGACATTAGAACCAAGAAAAACTCAAACCATCCTGCTACGGAATGCCTACGATCAATGAGCATTTTTTGGTACTGATTGTTTTTACTAAGTCAATAAAACATTTCTAGCTGTGTTTCAAGATTGGGTTGATTTTCTAAATTAGAAAAAATTGTAAGTAAGTTTATAATATTTTTACTGTTGAATGTATAGTTATCCCTCCTTATCTGGTTTCACTTTGTGTGGTTTCAGTTACCTACTGTCAAGCACAGTCCAACAATATTAAATGAAAAATTCTGGAAACAAAAAGTTGATACATAAATTGTAGGTTGTTTTGAGTCCCGTGAGTCCCTTGCTGTCCCTCCCGGGATGTGAACCCTCCTTTGTCCACGGGTCCACGCTGTATAAGCTACTTGCCCATTAGTCACTCAGTAGCCATCTTCATAATTTGGTCAAAAAGACTATTGATAATATTTATAAGGTTTGGTATTATCTGCAGTTTCAGGTATCCACATGGAACATGTCCCCCATAAATAAAGGGGACAACTGTAAACTTTTGTGCCTTTTAACTGAAGTATCTTTGCTGTTATAATCCTTTTCTAAGAGGTGATTTTTGTCTTGTGCTGTCTGGTGATTTTTGTCTGTGCCCAAGGAAAGCCAGATTTTCCTTGGGCAAGAACGCTTTCTCCCACTGTAAGGAGCTCACCACGTACGGTTGTACACCAGCCAATCATGCTGTTTATCTATCTGAGTAAACCTAGTTTGCGTCTATCCTTCCTCCTTCCCTAGAAAAATCTAAGGCAGTTAGCCTCCTGCGGTGTATATATTTTATTCTCTTTTGTTCCTTTGTTTGAAGGGTGGCTGGTTAGGAGGTATCTGGATCCCTAGAGGCTAGGTGCCCAGAAGCCTTCTCCGGCCCACACGTCCCTGACGAGACATGTCTACAGGTTCATAAACCTCTTCTCTCTTACACGTAAGCAAATTATTATTTAACTTTAGAGTCAATTCACTAAAGTTTCAGTCATCTGAGTTGATAAAACATTTTGATAGGGAAGAAGGGGATGAGAAATGACTCTTGAAGTAAGAAGCAGAGGTAGCCGCCGGGCAGGGAGGCAGCACCCCGGTGGGGACGTGGGACTCAGGGCAGCCGGGTGGTGCTGGCCAGGCGGTAAGAGGGGTTCTGGAGACAGGGGAGGCTTGAGGCTGGGTTTGTTCAATGGGGGTTTGCCCTGAAATCACTTCTGCCTATGTATGTGCTGACACTTTCGCTGTGCCCAGTTCCTATTCAAGGCTGCCCCTGCGTAACCCAGATTTGTCGCTCCAAACTACTATAGATGGATTGTTCAAGGTCAAAACAGGGACTCACTACGCATGTTCTATCTTCACCTTTGAGAAAGACAGAATAAAGCAGAAAAGAGAAACAGGGTGCAAAGCGACTCCAGTTCCTGACTGTCAGAGGTCTTCCCTCCCCTCTCACAAGCTTCCTCTCATCTGTTCCTCCCCCAGGCCTGCTTCAGAACCTGCTCTGTCCCCCTTTCTACAATTACTCTGACGTTTCACCACAGTATGGAGGATTCCTCTAGTGCAGAAATCTTCAAAGCATTCCAAAATATGGGGTCTTTTATATATATACACACACATACATTTTAGGAAAGAAAAAACTGTATTAAATTGTAATACTCAAGTCATGTTTGTTGCAATTACCAGAGGTGCTTACACGTCATCTTTTGTTATTGGTGTATATCGACTATTACAATTTTTATAGCGTTTTCTCCTTTCTTAAAATATGTATACATTTTTTTTTTGGTACCCTGTGTGTGTGTCTATTTCCTAATAGGGATCTCCTGTTAACAAAAATAAATAAGACCTCTTTATTTGCTGAGGTCTGTGCTTGCTGAGAAGTTTTACTGTGAAAATATTGATTGATTGCCACATAGACCTTGGCATAATAAATATGCTAAGGTAGTTCATGCAGCCACGAAGAACTATGTATATATTCTTGTCTATGTTTCAAAGTTATGCATTTTCCTTTTATTTTCATTTTATGTTTCGAATCAAGTCATTTCTCCCACTATACTCACATGCTCTGTCATTAATGGTGTGGTGTCCATGGAACACGTGTTACTTGGTATTTCACTTTTGATGAACAAAAATATGAAAGTACTGTAAAGAAAATAAATTTAGTCATAGTTATCATGGTTTATATAAAGCCACCTGCTTTTTAAGAGAAACAGAAACTTAAATCATCACTCTAAGGATACAATGATTCTTCTCAATTGCCTCTTCACGATCCTGCCCTTTCTTCACAACTCCTATTCTCTTTTAAGTCTCTCATTTTCCTGAATTGCAACAGGTGAAAGGCTAAACTCCTGATTTCTCCCCCCAAAATCGAATCTTTCTCCTGCTTTTGTTGTTTTAGTCAATGGCCTCATCTTTCTTTCTATCTCTGTTTAACTTTGGAATTGCAACATAAAAGAAATAAAATAAAAACTGAAATGAAATCATATTTTTCACTTATTACATCAACAAGACTCAAATGTTTAACAGCCTCCTCAGTTGGAAAACTTAGGGGCCTGGAACCCCTACAGGCTGCTGATGTGTGGGCAGAATCTACAACTCCCTCCACCTAATGAAGCCACAGGTGTCTCCACCTTGACCTTTCCAATCCTGCTCCCAGCCCACAAACACATGTGCCCCACACTTACATGATCATTCAATGAAGCACTGTGCAGTGACAGAAAAAAGAAAGATATGGAAAGATCTCCAGGATATATTTTCAGGGATTAAAAACACATACACCTAAGCCTAAGCCTCATGAAATATTTCTTTTTTTTTTGGACACAGAGCCTCTGCTGCCCTTGGTAGAGTGCCGTGGCATCATAGCTCACGGCAACCTCAAACTCTTGGGCCTAAGGGATCTTCTTGCCTCAGTCTCCTGGGTAGCTGGGATGACAGGTGCCTGCCACAACGCCCAGCTAGTGTTCCTCTTTCCTGTTAATCTCTCTCTCATAATGCACAGTTTTATATCCTGTGTGTGTGCAACAAATGCTTCACTTACTCTTGAATTTGGAACCATGCAAATATGTTAAAACATCAAATTTAAAAAAATGAATAACTTTGGTTGAATGTTCAGAACCCTTTAAAGATGTTTTCTAGTAGATTTGCATGGTTCAACATTTAAAAAAAATAAGAAGTTTTCAAAGCATATGTGAGGGTGAAATAGGGTAAGTAGAATAGTGTATTCTTCTACCTACTAAGTAAAGAGTAGCATATACTACATGCTATTTGGGGCATAAAATTTAAAATTTCCTAGTTATCTTCCTTAGTTCAGTCTCTTACTTGCTTAAAAAACTTGACTAATCACATACTCCCATATGAAATTTAACTTTCTTTTTTTTCTTTTTTTGGTTTTTATGGCTCCCTATATTCTACTCCACCCAACCAATCTCAACATAATTCCCTGTGTGAACTTTCATCCCTGACCACTCCCTGCCCCAAACTCTCTGTGCCCCACCTCTCCCCAGTCATTCATAACCGCTTGCTCATGCTTGTTTTTCTTCCTTAGCTGGACGTACCTTCTTCTTCCCATCCAAAGTAAAGGGAAGTCTGAATGTGGTAAAAACCTCCCCCAGGCCAGTCCTCCCTGTGTCTTCTTTTTTGAGCTCACATAACACTGAGACTACTTACCACATAATCCAGACCATTTCCCGCAATTCCCTGTGATATTTTTTCTCTAAAGATTTTCTAATAGAAGATAATGTTGGGGCTCAGAAAATGATACCCCTAAGTATGGCATTTGTCATGCTGAGAAACCCAGGTCTTATGTGGTTTCTCCCCTCAGCATCTGGGTCTTTGGGTCTTCATTTCTGAAGGCTCCATGTCATAGAAAACGTTAAGTTTGGCTTTTTTATTGTTAACCTTTTGTTAGAGGAGTGTCAGCCATAACCCTTATGATGGGTGAGGAAATGTATCATACTTTACTACCTCCGCATTATGGAGGTAATCAACACCTTATATTTCCTTCAGGGTCCTTGAAGTACTTAATATTCAGTAAAACTGAATGCATACAAACCAAATTATTTGTATATGTCTAAATGAGTTAAATGTATGTATGTATATACATATGTCACTTGTAAGGCTAATATTAGATGTTGCAATTGTATTTTCTTCTTAAAATTATGCAATAAAAACTCTTTATCTTGTACAGTATGTTTTTCTAATAAGCAATAGGGAATGATACGACAGAAATACATGGAGGCCATAGATAAAGGTCCCCGATTTTTTCTTCAAACAACTACGTGGTCCTCCAACAAATCACTCAACTGCTCTGACCCTTGACATTTTTCATCTGAAAAAAAGGGTATAGACCCTCCTCACAGAGCAGGAGGTAGCTGTGGTGAAGCTGTGTAAAGACGGCCGCCTGGTCCATACTCAGGTACAAGGGCCAGAGCCCTGAGAAAAGGGAATGGCTAGAGACAGGAATTTGTTTTTCCCTGTAAGGTAGAATAATAGCTGAAGTGTGGGATAACCATAACTCTCCAGGGGAGGCAAGTCAGGTGAGAAGAAAAAGAAATAAAGAGCAGACTCTAAAGGATCATCTAAAGCACATTATTATTTGTTTTAATTGAAAAGGAAATCTCCCTTTTTACAGAGAGTTCTGGGAGTTCTGACTTTACTGAAACAAACCTTAAAGAATGTGTCTGAGATTGTTTCTTGGTGTCAGATTCATTTCTGTACTCAAGTGCTCTCTCTCTCCTGAACCATGGGACCTACAAGACTTAAAAATATGTTTCCCCACCTTTAATGGCAGCTGAGTTCTGCCAATGGGAGGCATTTGCAAAAGATGAAAAGATGGGAGAAGCCATTCTGTTCCAGAGCCATAGTTTCAGTAGCAGGGACAGGTCAGGGTAGGAGGCAACTGTTCTAGCAGTGCCTGCTGCGGCGGGCATGGGATCCAGGGTTACAGGTGGTGCCACTTTCCTTCTTCTGCTCCACTGGGTCTTGTACACAATTCCCTGTGTTAAATCCCATGTATTTAACGTAGCTAGAGTGGTTTTGGTTATATGGACTGACTGACACCTCATATAATGCATAGAGAAAACATAAAGCTAGAAACAATCTAACCAATCCTTAAAAAACTGGACTATACAGAGGATCAGAGTGATAATTATGAGAAGAAAAGCAGGACTCTAAACCAATACAACCATCTTCCAACTTTCTTTATGTTGACCATAAAGCTCCAAGTTTATTCAATGAATGTCAAACAACCTGCTTGAAACAATAAAATGACAGATTCCAGAATTCCTCTCAGTGCAGACATGGAGAAGGGAACCAGGGTACATTACAGGAAGAGATCACTGAATTTCTCTGCCACAGCTCAAGCTCCAAACTGAGCCTCAAGATTCCTCAGATGCAGTGATTAGTTTAACAAAGTTGGGAACAAGTACCCAGAGAGGAAATGGTAATTGAACACATATAGTTATTAAGAATATTATAATTATAGTAAAAACTACCTAATAGAGCTTTAACCACACTCTTCACACTGTAAAAATCACTAAATATATTTTATTTCATTTAATCCTCAAAATGTCTTATGAAGTTGGTGTTATTACTACCTACTCTTTACAGATGAAGAAACCAAGGCTTGGGGAACTACAATGATTTGCCAAGGTCTTGTAGGTAGCAGTGATAGAAAAAGAATAATTAACTTGTGATTTTAGAGAATGTAATCTTTCTAAATGAAGAAATATGAAGAAAAACAGTATCTCATGGACTGGGTAACTTAGCTTAAAATTATCATTAAGTCAAAACTAAAGCGTGCTGCATTATAATTTGGGGGTGTACACATATCTTTTTTGAGAGAGATATTTGAAGTTAGAATTCCATATGAATTATATAAACTACATAAAATTGTCCCTAACCAAAAAAAAAAAAAAAAAGTGTCAGGAATCTGTTATTGTAGAATAATTTATATTATTCCTTCTTCAATTGGCCTGGGATTACTCTCTTAGGCAAACATTTCAACGACAGAGAGATCGCTCCCAAATGTGGCTGGGGAAAAGCCATCATTGCTAGATGAAGGCAAACATACTGTTCTTTCCCAGAAGAATAAAAAGGTACTAAAATCTGTGTAGGCAGTGCTATGGCTATCTCTGCAGGCATCATGTGCAGCAGAGACAGGAAATACAAATGGAGCCTGGAGAGGAAAGCGGACTGAAGTTAAGCTGTCCCAATTTCTGTTAGAATTTTATTGACCGAACACCACCCCATAGAGATTCAAAGTCATGTTCACCCTTATTCGTGGAGTGCATACACCTAGACACAGACACATCCAAAAGTAAATACTGAAAAGAGTATGTGTTTTCACAGGTGAGAAAGTGAGTATCTAGCTGGGTTGAGAAAAGTGTGTGAGAGATGGAGCAGTGACTGATAAATCAGAGGGAAGATTCAAGGCCATTCCAAGGGAATCAAGAAGCCAGCAGAACATGTGTTTGTATAGCATGTTTTAGTTTGCAAAATACTATGCCATTGGATTCCAATGTATGAACTATGTATTTTGATTCTCTGCATATTACAGATAATGAAACAGAGCTGATTTCCCAGGGTCTCCGGGCTTTGTGAAAGCATATGTAGTGAGAGTAAGATGGAGTCTGTCAAGCTGGGCAGACATGGTCTGGTCCCTTAGTCCTGCCTGACCTTCACCCTGTCTCCCATTCTCACTGTTTTGTAAATCCAGCTCCCACCCTAATGATGCCTATCTTGAGTAGGTGAGGTGGATTGATTTAGGAGATTAACTTTTAAATTAGAATGTAGTTAATTGTGAATCATGGGTTCTGCTGATTATTGTTTAAGATAAGGGTTAACATGGTCTTCACTTTGAACTTAAATGTATAAAACTATGTTAAAAATGAAAGAACAGAAGCGTCTTGGAGAGGCTATTCTCACTGATCTCCAGAATCCAGGCCTTCTGTCAAAGTTTGGTGGCTCTATCCTCACCTGCATATTGGCTGACAGTGACAGGCAGCCAGACCCTCTTTGTCCAGTATCTTTTGGATAGTTAAAGCTGGAGCTTTTGAGCCCAAGATCTGGCATTTTTTTGTCCTCTGAAACCAGCGTGTCATTAGAAGTGAAAAATCTAAAGAACAGTTATGTAGATTGTATGAAATGTGCTTTAAAAAATGTAAACCCATCAAGATCTTTAGACAGTACTCTAAATGGTTGGAAGAACAGCTAAATTATGAGAAATGGCTGTTACCTTACTATTGAGAGCCCAGCGCCGAAGTAATTTAGCAGAGGTTTTGATACTTCTTCTGCATCCAGTCCAAACCAGCCGAACCTGAAAACTCAGAAAGTCACATCAAATTAGCTATTGTTGAAATGTTTCATTGTAATGTTCCAGGGCATGGTTTCAGGGCCAGATGCCTGGACTCAATTCCTAGCTCTTTCACTTACTAGCTGTGACTTTGGGTAAGTTACTTGTCTTCTTTGTGCCTTAATTTCCCATGTTTAACATGGCATAATAATTGTACCTACCTTATAGGTTTGTTACAAAGATTAAAGAAGTTAGTGTATGTAAAAGTACTTCAAGTATCCCTTTGCTTAAGTCTGAAAAAGGAGGAAAAAAATAGTTCAAATGACTACCTACAGGCTAACTGGCTGCAATTTTGTATAGTATTTGAAATAGACTTTTAAAATAGTATCTTGGTTAATATCTTTATTATTTGGCATTAGCTTAAATTCTTTATTTTTTTTTTCATGCTTTGACATTGTCAGAATCATTATCAAGAATCACTAAGAACCATCCAGGGCCATGAAAAAAGACGGCAAGAAGGAAAAAGAAAGAGAAAACAGTATTTATAAAAAGCACGGTGGGGAATGGGGACAGGATAAGAAAGAAAGTATTAGAGGTTAGTAAGCTAGTTTGTTTTCAGGTAGTTATAATGCTTTGCTGAGCCCAGAAAGGAAGGTGAGACTATTACCATCCATTCTACTCATTTTCCCAAACTCGAATGTTAATTTTAATGTTGCCCACGGGCAGCACAATCCAGCAGAAGCTTCTGTGGTGCTGAGACTGCTCTACACCTGCTCTGCACCACAGTCAGATGTGGCTACTGAACATGCGTGACACAGCCAGTGCAACTGAGGAACTGAGTGTTTAATTTTATCAACATTTAATTGACTTAAACATAAACTGGCCTCCTTTGGCACGTGGCTCCTCGACTGGTCAGCACTGCTCTAACACTGGGGTTGGAAAACATTATCTTGAAGGGCCAGAGAGCAAATATTTTAGGCTTGGGTGCCATGTGTTCTCTTGCAGCTACTCAATTCTGCTACTGTAGTATAGAAGCAGCCACAGACAATACTTAAATGAACAGGTTTGGCTGTGTTCAATAAAACTTTATTTACAAACATAGCTGGGAAACTGGGCCATGGTTTATGGATTTTGTTCTGAAGGAAAGAGTATGTGCTTTAGAACTAAAAGAGCTGGATTTGAACCCTAGCTTCTTAGCTCTGTGACCTTCAGCAAGTTACTCAGCCCCTTTGTGTATCTGCTATCTTATAAGATTGTGCTGACCTCCGATATTTGTGAAAAAGAAATGAGAATCACGTACATACGATGCACGGAACATGATAAAGCAAATTGTCATACAAGACAAAGAGAAAAACATCATTTCCCTTTCTCTCTTCTTACTTCTGTTTCCTAGGTATAGTTCTGTACTATATCTTGATTAAATATCCAGATCACTCACTAATCACCTAGGACAAATAATATTAAAAGTGGCATATTTTATCATATATTTTGCCAGCATAACCTCTGTGAAAATAATCATGTTACTCCCCTCAGTAAGCACTTGTCTTACCTAGAGTATACATACAGGGAATCTTAGTTGAAATAGCTTGACTTGTATTACCTTGAGCTTGCCCAGCCCATCAAGGAGTTAAATGATCCCCAGATTAAGATTCCAAGGCCTAAACCAATGGTTTTGATAATTGGGACGACAGTAATGTTCCCTGTAGATATAACACACAGAAGGGATGTGTTATTTCCAATACAAAAAATGCATTTGTAAATAGAATTCGTTTCCATTCTAACTTCAGCTAAAGCTCCTGGGATTCGAACAAATTTACTGAAGCACAGTTCCTTATTTTTTAAATAAAATAACTGCTTTTGGGGGCATATATGATTATGGTTGCTAAAAGAACTAGGCTAAGGGAAAAGTTCTACAAAGAAAAATATCGGTTAGCTTCTTGCCTACATGGCCAGATGTTCCTCATCCTTGACATCTCTTTGAATTCCAGGACTCTTGCAGAAGCTGTCAGTGATAAAATTAGCAGTGACCATCCTTTTAGACTTGAAGCAGGGCCAACCACTGGCAGATTTTGGCCCTAATATGGGCCAAATTTGCTCTGGGGTGCTGACTGGTCTTCCGGATTCCCACAATTCCTTTCTTATGCTCTAGATCAAGAAGGCCACCGAGGGTCAAATCCATCAGGATGTTTTACAGTCTGGCTTCACTCCTGCAATCTCCATTAAAAGGTTTTCTCTTTAGACTTCCGAGAAGCCTTCATCTTCTGACTCCCCTTGTGGTCTTCCTTTCGCTCTTTCACTGGCTGCTCATTCTCATCATCTTCTGGATTTAGGTGTCCCCTAAAGATTTTCCCTGGGCCCCATTCCTCCTCTTGCTGTATTGGTCTTTAGGTACTTGACCTAATTTCATGGCTTTAGCTTAGGCTCATGCTCTCAGGGCTACTGCTCTAGCCTGGACCCAATGCCCAGTTTTACTGCTCTGCTCCAAACTGCCGATAAGAACTCTCCCCCTAGGACCTTCAACCTCAGAAGGTCCCAAACTGAACTCATCATTTTGATTTTCAAACACATTCTTTTCCTTATTTTCTCAAATGTCAGTACCACTATCCTTCTTATCAACAAAAATAAAATCCCTGTGTCATGATACCCCTCCCTTTCCTCTACGCCCCATCTCCTACATGTCTAATCAGCTGTTCTGACCTGTAGCATCCACATCTGTGGCATTTCTCACATTAGATTCTTCCCCAGTGACTCCCACTGGAAGCTGCTGAGTGGATATAAATACCATGCAAGATGGATGGACACACAGTCTGTTCCTCTCTCCCCATTCAACCTGATCAACAATCACACTGGAGTATGAGGCATAATAATGCAATTTCCAGTGAAAATTTTAAAGTGAACTCTTTACTGACTCATGAGCTTCACTAAATCATTTAATCCTCAGAGATTCCAATTAAGCTGGCAACTGACACATTTTTAACATTTTAAAATCTGCTTTTAATAAAATTATCTGTAAAGCTCTTTGATACTTGGAATTCTCATTGTTAAAGAGAAAAAGCTCTCTGGGAATGTATTTATAATTTATGCCTGGCCAAACAAAAGTATATAATCTGTTTATATACCTTCAGGTATTAGTAAGACAGAGACAAAGTTTTTATCTGCTTTTTTTTTTCCTGTTAACCAATCCTTTTGAAATGATGTTTGCCTACTTAAATTTTAAAAATGATATTCGTAGAAACTATTTAATAAATATTTTCTGCTAAAAGAACATATAAAAATGGTAAAAAGAACATATAAAATAATGTGAGTTATGCTTGAACAGATGATGAATAATAAAAACATTTTTTACTATAATAATTTTCTGCTAGAAACTTAGAAAGAAATTATTAAGAGGAACAAAACAGGTAATGCACAAAAATACTTATTGAGCATCTGAAGAAATGACACTAGTTAAGTTCTAGTTTCTACAAGTCAGGATTATTCAGAGTTATTTGTGCTATTTCCTCTAATTGTTGAGAATTATTTTGATCAATTTATAAAATGACAAAAGAATAATTTATATCACACATTACCTGTGGCCCAAATGCAGCCCCCAACCATTGCAAAAGGCCAAAACTTAGGGCACTGTAGTATCAGATTGACCACCAGGGCCACCAACCAGATGGCAGCACAAAGTACCCACTGGAGAAACATTCCTGCCAATGAAAGACCTTGGTGTTAGTGGTTCAAATGGATTTGAATAAATTAGCACTTAGCAACATCAGTGAGCTATTATTATGGCAATAGCCAAAATTTACTGAAAGCCTGAGTGCCAAGCACTTTGCACATTTCATTTTAACAACAGCTTTGCATTATAACTGACCCAAAGCTTAAATCTGGAGAAAATGGACCTGAGATTAAGCAACTTGTCCAAATGGCTAGTGGTTTGGTGAACAGAGTTTTAAATCCAGGTTGTGTGATATCAGAGCCTGTACACAATGTGTCCCTGTTTAACATCCTTTTTTCTCCTATCAGATATATCAAGAATTTTCTACCACAGTGGGTTGGCAAGACTTTGTTTATATTTCCATTTCCATCTTAGTGCCATTGCTATTCAAAAGTATGGTATTAAGAACTTCAAAGTAGCATGAAAGTGATTTAAACCTTTGTGGATCATTTATGCCACTTGTGGTATAAGAATATAATATAATCATTTATGGCACAGATACGCGTGTATTCCTACAGTTAGAGCAGGGGTTCTAAACCTGTGGGTTGCAACCCCTTTGGGGGTTGAATGACCCTTTCACAGGGTCACCTAAATACATCCTGCATATCAGATATTTACATTATGATTCATAACAGTAGCAAAATCACAGTTATGAAGTAGCAATGAAAATAATTTTATGGTTGGGGGCACCACAAAATGAGAAACTGTATTAAAGGGTCATGGCATTAGGAAGGTTGAAAACCACTGAGTTAGAGTTTCATGCTTGTAATGAGCCAGACATCATAAACTTGCGAATTAGCCTTCCAGGTCAAGACTATTGGAATTTCTATGCTCTGAGTTGCCATTTGCCAGTTATCTGAAGATCAACTGGTCATGTGAGATGTTTCCATACCTTCCTAAGGCTTGTCTATCACCCAGAATTTGTGGATTAAAAAGATAAAGAAATCGCTGACACTGAATGAAACACTGAGGCAATTAAAGCTAGAAGTACCACTTCTGACTCTAACTTTGAAAGACTTTTGCTTATTTCTATTCAGTCTGACAGTGGAGCAGAGAGAAGAGAGAATGGCTGCTAACTTTTATGACAAAAAAAAAGTTCTTCACTTTACAAATGAGGATCTGAAAACACAAAAGCTGCCAAGGTTTACTCAGGATCACAGAGATAACTGTGAAAGACCTAGAAGCCAGATCCTCTATTCATTTTTTAAATTCTATTAGTTTCCATTCCTGTTTGAACTCCAAAGGAAAACAGAAGAAAGGCCTAGAGCAGTGGTTCTCAACCTTCCTAATGCCGCAATATATTTTTATTGTTAAAAAGGGATGGAGACCCACAGATTGAGAACCGCTGCCCTAGAGGAAAACAATTTGTAATCCTATTGCCTAGGAGTAGGAAGAGATGAATTGGGAGATAACACAACTGCAACCAAGTAGTAAATGCTACCAAGGAAGGAATTCCCAACAGGTATTCACCAGAGTAGCTCCAATTCTTACTCTTGTCATTGATAGGGAAGGCAAGTACATAAAATTCATTCTTGTTTCCCTTTCCCTAAAGCTCACACTACAGTCAGTTGTGCTGTCATGTGGCAAGTGCGTCCCTAAGAATCACTACACTGTGCAAAATCATGCAGTAAAAAAACCACAGAGCTCCAGGAGAAAATTGGGTTAGGGGAACACCACCCAAACATTTCATCAGCCATGTATTAAAAGAAGATAGGACCCTAATTAAAATGGTAATACAGTTTCAACTGGTTTAATGCTTTAATACACGAATACTGCAATAAACAGGGCACTTTAATTTGAAAAAGACCAGACGTTTGCTTATGGGAGTAGGCTTCAGAAGGGTTGCAGGTGTGAGTTATTGTGAAGGTGATGGGTGAAGGTTCTGACACCAGCTGTAGATGGGTGTGATGCATCATAACATGTGCAGGGAACTGCGGGAGCTGGGAGATATTTGGAGGGTGTGTATGTGTGTGTACATTTTATGTATCATTACACATCTTTACTCATCTGGTTACTGCTTTCTGTGTTCACCTAATGTTGGCACATAAGCAAACACAAAATTCGTCATACTCAAATTGTTCTCTAATATATCAATTGTGTTGGAGATCTGTGTTTACATAACAAATGTTATTAATATATTAGAACTGACTATGACCTCTTTCTTTTGTGTGCTTCCACATGTAAAAAGCTTTCCTGACAGTACCCACACGAGCTTTACCATGAAACACAATCTTAAAAGTCATCCTATATTGACTAACTCTGAGATAAATTACATAGGCACTTTGAAATGACTTATTTTAAACTCCATTCATGAGGTACCAGGAATAAATCAACAAAATTTGTTTTTATAGATACTATTTTTAGAAGACCTAAAAAGGAACAATACATTTTAAAATAACATATGGCTGACAATGAAGGAAAAACAATTACCATCACCAGTATCATATTTTTTAAGTGGCACAAAGTTGGAGCCAAACAAAAGGATAGCTATGGCAGAGGAGATGTAACCAACGGTCAAGTCTGTTCCATTATTGCTCATGGTTTCAGCACTGCCTGGGAGTTAGTTGGGTCACTTTAGACCTGATGATGTACTGTTCGATAGCTTCTGAAATAAAAATGAAAGAATTGAGAAGTTGTGAGCCTGTGAACAAACTGTGGTATTCACTGAGCTTTTCCAAAGAAGATTCCTTCTTGCAGATAGCTAGGACATTATGAAACTATATAGCTATGTTCGTAATTCATGTTCATTTATTCAGGTTTTTAAGTATTCTATTTTCAAGTATTTTTTATCACTAGCCTACAATTCAGAAAAGCAAACCAACCAAGTTTGTCTTCAGACCTTGAAAACCTAACTTCTTCTAAGACCTGGATACAACTTTCTATATATTATAAAAAAATTATCCTGTAATAGTTTTGATCACTGCAGAAAATTTTGTTGCACAACATGGACTTATTAAAAAGCTCTGGATGTCCTATGAAGAAATAACCAAGTTTCACAGCTCTACTTACAATCACCAAAATGTGGAAACATTTGGCAAGCACCTAAATGCCCGCCAACCCAGGAATGGATTAACAAGCTGTGGTATATGTATACCAGGGAATACCATTTAGCCACTAAAAAGGTGGAGACTTTACATGTTTTGTATTAATCTGGATGGAAGCGAAACACATTATCCTTAGCAAAGCATCACAAGAATGGAGAAACAAGAATCCCATGTAGTCAATTCTGATATGAGGACAATTAATGACCTAGCAGTTTGGGGGGGGGATGAGGAGAGCAGAGAGAGGGAAAGAGGGAGGGGGTGGGGAGGTCATGGAAGAGCGGTACACATTTTGGGGGCGGAACACTATAAGAGGGTCTTTACCTAACCCAAGCAATCAATGTAACCTGGTTCTTTGTACCGTCAATGAATTCCCAACAATTAAAAAAAGAAAAAAGAACCAAGAATCAGACATTTTTTATAAGATATCATTTGGAAAATGCCACTGATCACAATTCACCTTTTTAGTTGCATAAGCTACATGAGAAAAAGAAAAAACAACAAAAAAGTAATTTTGTTATAGGAGGTGAACAGAGTCCATGATGCCATCTTGGATTCATATTTTGCACATTGGCCTTTTGGAATAAATTCTCTACAGTGGAATTTGGCACAATCTAGGTTTTTTCCCTTCAAATCTGATGTTAAAGTGGTAGCTTCTTGTGGCTATATATGAATAAAGTACACCTGAGATCAACTTTCCACAGTACCTTATTTTACAATGACAAATGCTGAAAAGTCCATGAATTGTTTCTTATATGTTCTTGCAGAGAATGTTAAATATACAGCTACCTAAAAATGTTATTTAGCATTATTAAGGCCAGTTTAATGGAAAACAGCAAAAATTTCAAAACTGGTTCCTATACTTTTTTTTTTTTGCAGTTTTTGGCTGGGGCTGGGTTTGAACCTACCACCTCCGGTATATGGGGCCAGCGCCTTATTCCTTTGAGCCAAAGGTGCTACCCTGGTTCATATACTTTAGTAAGGAAAACATTCATTTGAAATTGTGTGGATTTTCTTATAACAAAAGCAGAAATAAAAACAAAACACACGCTGGTAAGGAAACATCCTCCATGGGGTTAGAAGTTGAGGAAGAGACAGTGAGGGGTGTTTGAACTCTAACACAGTAACACTATTCAATAAAAATAACAATCGGCTAAGAGCATTTCAGTGGCGGCTTACATAGGCCACGGCTAAGATACCAGAGGGGCAACAGGTCAGAGATGCAGGAGGTAATCTGGAAAATCTCTCTGATGATTAAAAAGACATGTGATGAGGTGATAAATAAGTAAACCATTCTTTTCTGTTTTGCTTTTGAAACAGTATCTCACTCTGTTGTCCTGGTAGAGTGCCAAGGCATCATCGTAGCTCACAGCACCTCCTGCAATCAAGTGCTCTCTTGCCTCAGTTTTTCTGTTTTTAGTAGAGATGGGTCTTGCCCTTGCTCAGGCTGGTCTCAACTCCTGAGCTCAAGCCATTCACCCGCCTCAGCCTCCCAAAGTGCTAGGATTACAGGCCTGAAACACCACGTGTAGCCATCCTTTTCCATTTTAATTAAAAACAGGCAAAGCAAAACAGAACAAACCTTTTTACATACATTTAAAACAAGAGAATGACCCACCTTCAAATGTAGCAAGTTAGTTTACTGAAAAGAAGGATCCACTCAAGGCCTCTGATTTCACTCACTCCAGATGGAAAAAAATAATGCGAAGTGCCAATCGATTATTACCTGCAGATAAATGAAGTTTACAGCTCTTGGGCGTGTTGGAAAGCACATGGTCTTAATTTCAACACGGATTGGCAATAACTTAATCTTTAAAGAAGAGTCTGGCTCTTCCTAAATCCGTCACGTTTTCATGGAGAAGAGAAGCAGTATCACTCTCTCCAGCACTTGACTCCCGATTCTAACAAGTCTCAAACTATTTGGAAGTAAAACCGAACATTATTTTAATGTTTTCAGTACCCACGGATAGGTCACGTACAAACCAAGCCATATTCATTCATTTTCATTTTACTACTTTTGCTTCGTTTAGTAAATATTTACCTTTAAATTGTCCCTAGTAATTTTAACTTTTGTGCAGACTTTAAACAAAAATGGGTCTTTGTTGCTGTGATCGACACCGACACCGTTTGTTCTATGGTCAGCTAAGATTCATTTTCAGTTTCAGGTTACTCCCCCAGCTCTCTCGGCGGGCACCCTGTCTCTTGGCTAAAACGGACAGGGTTTGAATCTGACCTTTTGAGTTTTCTTTTTAACCACGAATGCTAGGTCTTTGGAAAATCTCGAGACTCCCCTGCCCCCACCCCCCCCCCCCTACCCCCGCGCCGCGAAGCTAGCAGGTGTTCCTGGGTCGCGGTACTCACTGCGCTAGGGACTGCCAGCGACGCTCTCTCCTGCTCGGCACTCGGCGTGTCCTGCTCGCGGGCGGCAGTCCCAGCCCGACTCATTCCCCCGGTGCCTGGGCCGCCCGGCCAGCCTTCGCTCCGCCTGGACAAGTGCGGGAGGAGAGGGGAGGGCTCTAGCACTCGTGACCCAGGGGCCCAGGTCCTCTGCTAGTGCAGGCGGCCAATCCAGCCTTCACTTCCCGCGGGGACCTCCACCTAAGGAGGGTGGAGAGCGCAGGACTTCAGAGCCGGACACGGAAGCCTTCCCCAGAGCAGCTGTTCTTGATTGAGCGCTGAGGTGACTCAGGCCAGGAAGGGGACGCCTTTGTCAAGCCCTTTGTCATTCAATCAGAAAACTACTAATAGAAAAAAGCCTTAGGTATTTAAGAGGTGATGGGCAGGGACCTCTCAGCATATCACCCTCTTTAAGTGGATAGATGTGGGTATTATTTGTGGTGTTTCTGGATAAAACGAAAGGTAAAGAATTTCACACAATTGTAAAAGATTCCCTCAAGCTGAATTTTGCCACTTAATATCAAGAAATTCATCTGAGCCACTGATATCACTAGCATCTCTGTGACAGCCACAAGACTTCACTTGTAATTACTGATTCAATATAAATGATCCAAGCCCTTATCTGTATGTGCCACATATCACTAACATTTCTTGTGACATCACAAGACTTCACATGTAATTACTGATTCTTTATAAATGATGCAAGCCCTTATCTGTATGTGCCACATATCACTAACATTTCTTGTGACATCACAAGACTTCACATGTAATTACTGATTCTTTATAAATGATCTCAGCCCTTATCTGTATGTCCGTAGATAAGCATCATTTAGGCACTGAGTGCTGTGTGAGAACATACGGTCTCAGCCTCTCAAGCTTGGCTGCGTATTACAAAGGCCCAAGAAGGTGATTTTTCTTTTTTAAAATACTAGTATCTGGACTCCATATCACACCACTTTAAATAGAATTCCTGGGGATGTGGCTCAAAAATAATGTTCTTTGGAAACTTCCCCCAGGTGACCATAATGTGAAATGGGTCTTGAGAATCATATTCTAGGTTAATTGTTGTCAAATTTCATTGTCTGTACAAATCACCAGAGAAATAGGATAAGGTAGGTTCCTGAGATCTTTCTTTAGATTTTGAGAAAAATTCCTTTAGTTCTCCACTGTCTCACTAGAAGCATGTGACTATTTAAATTGAAACTAGAATAAAATATTTACTAGTTCTCTTGCACTGGACACTTTTCAGGCACCCATTGTGCAGAAAGTTCTATTCTACTGCGAAGCCTGCTCTAGACTCTTAGCTCTGGCAGTACAGCAGGGTCCTAGAATCCCTACCTTCGTGTAGGTTGCATGATACAAATAGATGCAGACTTGGAGTGGGAAAGGGTGCTAGGTTTTGTCCTACTCTGAGCTCAAGAAAGCCTCTGTGAGGAAGTGCCATTTAAATCAGACCCATCCAGTGGTTGGTAATGGGTGTGGAGTTCACAAGAAGGAGAAAACATGAGGGCTGCCAGAATGAGGTCTTCTAGAAGGAAGTCCTGGTTTAAACATTACTTATGTTCATAGACTATAGTGTCAGATTAGTGGATGGGAAGGCAAAGGATCATTTCATTTTAAGAATTAAAAAACCAAAGTTTTTTTCACTTGAGGGAAAGGACCTCAAAGGGGTTCAAGAAGATTTTGAAGAAATAAGTTTCTTTGTACACACACACACACACACACACACACACACACAGAATATGTAATTACTTTCAGAAGATAGGGGAAAAATTTCCTCTTGCTTCTGGTATGAAGGAGGAAAAAAATAACCATTTTGAAATATACTTATGCCTTATATAAATATAAACTCTCTCTTACAAAGGTCAAGGGCCTAAATCCAACCTCGAATTATTTCACTTCATGATTACAAGATAACCACAATGATCATTTGGTTCAGACTCTGAAACTGAGACTCACATTGTTGAGAATTTCCTAAAATCTTACAGTGAGCTGGGGACTGAGTTAGACTTGAGAATCTTCATCCTACAATATCCCTATCCATATCCTCATCTATATCACACCACAGGGCAAACCAAGCATGGATGGCTCTCTGCTGAAACTAAAATTTTTCTTTCACATTGCTTCAGATACATTAATACTGAAAGATAATGGTCTGTATTAGCAGAGTCCTGCCAGGCACTAAAAGATCCAAGTTATAACTTTAACTTAATCTTTTACTGTTATTTCTCTGGGAAAGTCATTTCATCTCCTGAACCTCAGTTTTCTTGCATGCGAAATGGCAACAATTAGGTCTATTCATATCACTCTTTCATGTGGTCAAAAAATATCATGTATATCTTTTGGACTAGGATTTCTGGTTACCACTCTGACATGTGAAGACCTTGAATGTCTTTACTCCCATCATCACAACAAGAAAAAGTGCTGAACAAACCCCAAACCAGCAGCTCTTCTTACATCTGGCAGAGAAGGAAGATCACAGGGCAAATCACCTCTCTGAAACCTGAAAAGACAGGGGAGGTAGAGAATCACAGCTTTTCAGGGGAGCAGAAGCCACTGGAGTGAGCAATGTAGGGTGAAACAGTAGGGTTACATAGTAATTGGCAAATTGGCAGTTAAATGATTACTGAAACAGTGATTGGCAAATTGCTGAAGGCTGACTGTGGACTACACTAGGAGTTGAAAACTCTGGGAGAGTGGGGTCCAGGCCTAGGGAAGCATGCACATTTGAAGTGAGTTTTACTTTCAGAGGGTAGGAGAAAAAATTCCTCTTGCTTCTTGTAGGGGT